TGATCATATGTATTACAAGTGGCTGGATTGTTTTTAACACAAGCAACGTTTTTTTAAATCATTATCTTAAAGAGATTAAGGCTCATTTTGGACTACACTTACATTACTTTACAACTGCTTAATGCAGTACTGAGGTATCAAGTAGTTTAGTGGGTTTAACTAATGTCACATCTGTTTTTATTTATTTCAGATGCAGAAACTTTTGACATATGAATTCATCTTGACTAAGGGTAAGGTTTTTGTTCAGAATTAATCATTATTTAAAATCATTGTATTTTCTTTGCTATTATGTACAGCTTTTAAAAGAATGTACTTTCTTTTAATAAAGAACTCTTCACAGCACTGCATCTGAACAGTCACAACCTCACAGAGCTGCACAACTGCCCCACTCAAGATCAGTGTTGAAGCTGAAACCTCATCTTGTGTACAGCAAAGGCAGAGCTGAAAATTCACTGTTTGTCTTGTATTGTGTGGTAAGTCATAGTTTTATTAATTTTTTAATTTTATTGCAACACTAAGTAGTCCATTCTGTGGCCAATATGATATAAAGGGCCTAAAACGGGACTGATGTGATCATTGTTTTGATTTCTAGATAAGTACTCATGGGGCTACACATGCAGCTGAAGTTAGCTACATTGAGTAGGACATTTCTTTCAGTATACTCTTAAAGAGATTCACCCAAAAAGGAAAATTCTGTCATTATTGACTCATCCTTCACTTGTTCCAAATATGTCTGACTTGCTTTCTTCAGTTAAACACAAAAAATTATATTTTAAAGAAAGATGAAAACCTGCAAACACTGACTTCCATAGTATTTGTTTTTTCCTACTATGTTTGTCAATCTTTTCAGCTTTCTTTAAAAAAACTCCTTCATGTTCAACACAAAGTAACTTGGAGGTTTTTAAAAAAACGTTTACAACCACTTAAAGGAGAGTAAATAGTGAACTATTCCTTTAACCCAATCTAGTTGACTTTACTAGAAAATTGTATAGAAACCCAGTGGCTTAAACCTCTTACATTTTATACAAAGTACAACTTAACAGCCATACTTGAATTAAAATATTACTGTAAATTCAAGAAGATTGTAAAGGTTCTAGGTTAATTTAAAGTGGGCTGTTTAGTTTCACCTTGTGTAAAAACATAAAGGGTTTAAGGCAACATGTTTCCATGCAGTTTACACTCTTAACCCAAACTAGTTGACTTTATTAGAATAAAGTCAACTAGTTTGGGATAAGAGTGTAATGGTTTACAGTAAAAGCAGTGAATCATGCAGGCATAAAATAAATGTTTAGCCATGTAAAGCAATAAACTTGTTACAATTTAGAAATATTTTTAGGGTGGAGCACTGTATGCTGTTGTAGTTTTCATATAATTGATGAGTCAAACATGAGATGTGTGTTTTAAATTGCAAGAAGTGAATTAACAATATGTTCATCAAGATTCAAATCTTGCATCTTATATTTTTTAAGGTTTTGGCCCAATAATACCCATATTCTGCTATTTAAAAAAACATGCTGGAATTTGTGTCAGCATTCCCTTCAATGAAAACTACAGCAGTGGACATCAGTGGTGATAATGTATGAGAAGGATAAGGGTGTTCATAATGAGAAGTGCAGTCACTATCCTGATCTCTGAGTTTGTAGAACTGACAGATCTGCTTGGAATACATGGAAACAAGCTGGAAATGTTTAACCTATTATACAGTTAATTCAAGAGTGCCAGGTTTAATGACACTTTACATATATAAATTAATATCACTGAACTTTCTAAATGAAACCTAACACTCATTCTTTGTTCAGTAATGATATTGTGCACTTCTAATACTTTACAGTGGCAAAACCTGGAATAACACATGGGAGCCCTCCAGGAATTCCTGACACTTTACACCCAAGTCTCCTCATGCCAACCGGATTGCAATATGACAGTCTAGTCAGCATAAACACCTGGACTCACCAAGCACACTTTGGTTCTCAGTGTTTTGTAAAAATTGTTTTTGCTATTCTTCAGTAAATACTTGAATATGTTTTGAACTTATTCTACTTTTGATGTTTAAGTTCAGAAAGTTGTTGTTATTATAAACATAATTTGCATTTGTCATGAACTTGACTTCTTGTTGTTGTGAAAGCTGTTTATTATAATGGCATTTCCAAAGGCATCATTTGAAAAGATTTATTGCAGTGCAGTTTTACTTGAGCTTGAGCATACCAGATGTATGACATGAATAAATATCACAAAATAAATATAATAATAATAATACAAAATATACATTTCCTTCAATTATAATTGTTTTTAATCATTTATATATGTATGGTAATATATTATTGCATTAAAAACTGTTATAAAATATATTTTTTTGGTTTTTGCATTTTTGCATGATTTTTATTATTTATTTTATTTGTGGCATTATAAATAAATTATGTTTCATTAAAAATGTATTGTGTTTATTTGTATAATCATTTACAATGAACTACTATTTTTACTATTTAATGGGCACTATATTTGTCATTTAAGTTTGACATATATTTATATTTGTATACCTACATGATGCATGGTTTAGTTACAGGAAATGCTGGAAATGTTTTCAAACATGAAGCTTTTTTATTTTATTATTCGTTTCAAATTTAGTATACTGCCTATGATCTTGTTTTACTATGATCATTTTGCACATCAGGTTACCCCCACAAAGGAATCTCACGGTAAATATACATTTGTATTTTTAATAAGACAATAAATAACATGTAATATTAATACACATTTTGATATTTAAGTTATATTATAAGGTTATTATAATCTACCTTAAGCCGGAAGATTACCAAATAGAGACAAAGTGTGACGTAGATTGCGACGTTGTGATTGGACTATAACTTCAAAGCCAAATTAAAAGATCCTTCGTGTTGCTAACTATGTTTTGCTAACTTTGCCACTTTACTAACAGTGTCCTTTATCAATGAGTTATCGTTGTGTTTCAAATAGTTACCGATTAACCAAGATCGTAACCCTAAACTTAACCCTAACTACACCTTTCAATGAACTACAATTTGTAGCGCCATGTCTTTCCCCTCCCATCTATACAGCGACAAAGGATTGTGGGTAATGTAGTTTAAAGCCTTTTTGTAATAAAATGGAACAAATACAATTTTTAATGAACTAAAGACTATCTGAATAAGGTCATTGTGCATATATTTATGACATATATGAAAGCCAGGCATAAATTTGTTATTTTACAATGAGTATTTTTTTTAAACAGCTTTTATTGACTTGATTAGTATATATCAGACTATTATATCCAACATTATTTATTGAACATAGCATAGGTAATAGTCTTGCTGATATTCTCTCACTCATTTCTCGTTTGAAATGTGAATACTTTTTCATTTTCTACGGGACTCTACTCATCCCCTTTGAGTAAAAGGGCAGTTAACCTATGTAGATGTATTATCTTCAACATGGACAAGAAATTGTATTGTCACATGTACAGTTGTGGTAAAAAAAAAAAAAAAAAAGCTGAAAAATAAGCTAAACATTAGTATCTTCTTTAATCACAAGTTATTAGCAATAGTGATTATGTTCATCACAAATATCATGAGTTCAGAATAATATGTGTGGATGTAATTCTGTAAGTGTGTTTCATTAATGGTCATCATGTGATATTTAATTGTTTTCACTTTATTTGAAATATGGATAAAAGCTCTTTTAAAATATGAAAATGTTTATAAATAAAACCTTTTTAAAGACATGTATTTGTTTAAAAACCACTCTTTTTCTGATTATTTTTACTTTCTAAATCTTCAACTGTTTGTGTAACAGTATGTTTTGATGACAATGGATGAACTTTGTGTTTAATAATGATTCCACATAATGTCTTTGTCCTGCATGTGGGTTAATTTGTTAATTATTTTCTTTATGATCAAATGATTGCAAGATTTGCTGCATTGTAAGAATCATGAAAATATTGAGAAATGAGGTAACAATGACGAAAAGATATCCTTTCAAATGCTGCGAATAGTTCAAACCTCCAAATGATTAAAAATACATAGCCAATAACCAACAAAATAAAAATGCAAACATTTAAATCATCTAAACTAGAAGTAAAATAGTTCTGTGCTGTATTTATAAGTTACTGTGTAGTTCTATGTCTACTAAAAATACATATTTTATTTTCATTCATTCATTTTCTTTTTGGCTTAGTCCCTTTATTAACCAGGGGTCGCCACAGCGCTATGAACCGCCAACTTTTCCAGCATGTTTTTATGCAGCAGATGCTCTTCCAGCCGCAATCCATCTCTTGGAAAATATTTTATTTTTATCTTGCATTCAATAAAACATTATACAAAGTTAATTTTTATTTTCAGAATAACAACAGTGGCACTGTTATCTCACAACAAGTGCAGCAGTTTTTTGTTAGACATTCTTACAAATGAATACAAATGTTTCAAAGTAAGGACAAAAATAATAAGAGATGAATTTTTTTTTTTGAAAAATCCATGAGGACCAAATGGATCCATCAGCTCTTTGATGTAAATCATAGGTTAATTTTTCCAGAGGTAGAAGTCTGGTTGCCTGACTCAGCCACATATTGACTGGAGGTATCTGAGCAGTGGACCATAATAATGTACATTTTTTGGCCAAGTATATGCAAAAATTAAATTTATCATAAAAATGTATCATAAGATTAATATTTTAAAAGCTCTTAATGTCATTTAATGTAATAATTTTATTTTAATATAGAGTTCCTTAAATCGTTATATGTTGTAAGCAGTTGGGCATACAATAATGCTCTTAATTTACAACACTCATTGATTTAGAGGAATGCTTACATACTGTACATATCTATGTATTTAAAAAAAAAGAGACAACAATTTGGTTATAGATGATGAAAATTTTATTTTATTTTTACAGATTTTATTACATGCTTTAGATTCAGGGTTAAGGTCATCCTCTTCTGGATTACAGTAAAAGAAAATCCACAGTCAATGTCATACTCATCAGCTGGAGCTTTATTTAAAAAAATGTATGTTCTCTGCTCCAGCCAAAACTTGCAGGTACCTTGCAGGTCTCTAGATTGCACCATCGTATTGTTGTTTATTTCTCAGTTATTTTGTTGCTTTCTGAGAATGATGATCCATAGACCTTTTAACCCCTCTTTGTTTAGGCCACATGTCGAATCTTAAAAGAAGAACACAACAACATAAAAATATATGAATATTCTTTGGACTGGGTAACCTTATGCGTATGTCTGTGCCAAATAATACAAATGCATACCAGTACATTTCAGAAGCAAATAAGCAGGAAAGTTCTTTGAAAGAACCAGGATGAGTTGAAAGGTATTTATAGTGGTTGGCCATCTCTGCCACAAGAATCCTCTGCTTCTCCTGAAGAATCCTGACTAGCAGGATGATGTTGAACACCCTCCTCTTTGTTGCTGGGTCAGCAGAGTCTGAAATATATTTATAAAAAGAAAGTTGTATAACAAGGATTATACGTCAACTTTTAAAGAATCAACACTGACAGAAGTCTAGTGTACATACCATGCCATATGACGAAGACATCCATATCACTTTTGTTGTTTGTTGTCTTTGCTTCTGCTACTGAAAAAATGACAATACTAGTAACAGTTACAATTTTTCATGACTACATGTAATATTAATAAGAATTTCCTCACCCTCTGCCCATTCCTCTACATCACAGACCAAAGTCTTCCAATTGGTTTCCAGTCACTACCAGTTTCATGGATTCTGTTTTGCAACTTGCTTTGCAGAGCTGCTGCGGTCTACAATGATAAGCAATCAAAAATCACAATACTATTCAAATAGGTTACTGAACAACTAAAACAAATTCTACTGGATATCGTTACCTTCTGATATCAATAGGTCGGCGAGATGGCCAAATTGTTGAATATCTGCTAATTCCAGCACATGACCATGAGAGTTACAATAGCATGTCTGGTCACTGCAATCCTATAGAAGAAATATTGCACTGTTCAACCTCCTTCCCAAGACTAAAACCACACATATCCTTGTATGCCTCACTCCATTTCACCTGGTTAACATATACAAAAAAACAAACAAACAAACAAACAAATAAGTAAACCAATAAGTTTTGGCATTTACTTGTAGATCAGTTTAAGATAATCACATAGTTCATCTATCTCAGATATAAACTCATGTGCTTAGGCATGAAACACACTAAAATCATGGGCTTAAAGATGGTGCTGAAACTTTGGACAGCTTTTTGCAACTCTTTGGAGGTAGTGTCATTAGTTGATGTAGTCCACAAATCTTCCTGTCAATCCTTAATCCTTAGCTGTAAACAAACCTTCAAAAATCCCAGTGTTTGAAAAAGGAATGAAACAGTACAGAACAAGTGCATAACAGTTTATATCTTCTAATCTAATTTTACTAGGTGAACATCAAAGAGCTGTTTTTTTGTTAATTTAGTTTCAACACATACAGCTTAAAGTACCTTGTGCATTCTTGAAATGGTTATGCTTATGGTTCATATCTACTTAAATTGGCAGTATATCTGGTGTGGAAGCAGGACAGATAAAGGGTTCTTCCTTGCAAATACTATCCACCTTGTATTGCACAGACTCCCATTTAAGAAAAATGTCTGCTGAGATCTTAGCAGTCCATTAAAAATAATTATACCAGCATCTTTTCCACCAATGGAAATAATAAAAAAATATTTTAGGATATATTAATACGTGCATGACCAAATCTGAGATAAAAAGGCCATCAGTATGCCTTAGTTTAAATAAAAACAAAATTTGACTCTAGTCCACTGTCACCTAGGTCTACAGATACAGGGACTAATGGAAACAATGAAGTACACACTGACAGTCACTGGAGCAAGGCCCTTTCACAGTTGGGAAGATTGGAGTTCCTATGAGCTGTACCAGATAAAAACAACAAAAAAATGTACATTTATAACATTTCTAACTTATCCTAAGACTAGTAGACAAGCAGCATAAGCAGTTCTAATTTCCTAAACCCCAATGTGGACAGTTGATGGCCTATAAGGTGTCATAAAATTAGACAAAACAAAATACTTTCTGAAAAAGAAAAAAAATGGTTGGCCACTAATCAACACCCAGAGCAAATAGTTTTAAACAGTTAGGCCACAATATTTTGTGAGCTTATACTGTAGTTTTTTAATGTTTGTCATAAACAATAGTAATAGTAAAACTAATGCTTCTCTTTCTGTTATTACCATAGTAGTGAAAGAATAAATGCATTTTATCTCATACAATCATATATGCCTAAACAATGTAGATATTTAATATACATGGAATGAAAAACTTCACTAACCCTTGACTGATTCCAGAGAGGTCTTGGCCTTCCTTACATGGTGGTGCTCCTGCAGATCATCAAATTGTCATCAAGACTTAAGCTTATAATTGAGATCTTGATGATAAATCTGAGTATAAAGGAATCACTCATGGTGATAGGCAGAAACAGGCTGAAAGACACAAGAATTAATCAAACAAACACAAATGTGTTAACAGAGATAGAGAGAGAGACAAGTGCAATTTAACATATAAACATGGGTAAAGTGATTTTACTTTTTGCTTATTAGAAAACAAAATTGGATTTTTAAAGAAATCTAAAGAACCTGAAAAGAGCAAAGAAAAAATATTCATATTTGAACAGTGAACACCTTATAATTTACACCTGTATATATATATATATATATATATATATATATATATATATATATATATATATATATATATATATACATATATATATATATACATATATATATATACATATACATATATATATATATATATATATATATATATATATATATATATATATATATATATATGTGTGTGTGTGTTTGTGTGTGTGTGTGTGTGTGTGTGTGTGGTAGATTAATCTGTTTTTTTGTTTAGTTTTGTGTTGTACAATGAATAAAATGTGCTCAGACAGGCAAAATTTCTGCCTTTTTTCCTTTAAAGGCATGGAAAATAATTGTTTTTACAATAAACCTTTGGAAACACTTGATGATCTTTAATATTGAAACAATTACGAATACATTTGTATTATTAGACTTGCATATTGCATATTATATATAGATTTTGCACGAATTCTATTGTGGAAAACAACAATCTGGTTACACTGTTCCTTATCTTAAAATGTATATATTGTTCTAATACATGACCAACGTTATATGTGAGAAAAATATGTTTTTAATAAATGAACTTGATGTAATTAGATAACGTCGCTAGTTTACAGTACATGCTTTATCAACAAATCGTCTTTATTTGTTTACTTTTTACTTACCTTGTGGAAAACCGCAGTGAAGCTTGGGATCGCAATGAACCTTGGGATAGCGAGCATAGACTGTAAAAAATAGATCGCCACATACAATGACCCCAACTTCAATAAATAATTTAAAATGAAAAAGATCAGCCGAAAACATTTTTAAACTTATTACTTGAAATGTAATATTTTTTAAAGTAAAAAAATAATAAATAATATGAATGAATCAAAGTTTTATTAGACATAGTTACCCTAAACTGGACAACCGAATATATTTTCACTCATTAAATATAAAGTAAATGATAACATATTTATAAACACCAACTAATCTCCAATAAAAATACATTATGCAGCATTAACGTAATATTTAATGTTGACAGTTGAACTCATCTGAGAACTCACCGCTGATGCAGTTTGACCAATAGCAGAGCGGCGTTAAACTCACCGTGAAGGGATGTCACGTGGACCGAAGTTTATTCATACAGTAGTTTCGACCCAGTTTACAGACGCTTTTCGTGAACAAAATAAAAATTACATATTTTTAAAAAAAGAAAACTAAGATAATAGGCGTAAATCAGGTTTTAAAAATTGCGTTGACATCTATTGGTAATTATACGAGCCTCCAGCGTCTCCCTATGACGCCTCAGGCTCAGGCACAGATTCTATAGGGAATCCCTGCACGTCTAAATATGACGCTAAAGGGGTACCCTATGCGTCAATAACTTACGCCGAGGGTTCCTGACCAAGCGTCAGTATATGACGAGTTGGGAGTGAGAACGTGTTGCCACAAGACATCCCACATAGAAAGAACGTTCATTCCATCATTCATTCATTCATTCATTCATTCATTCATTCATTCATTCGTTCATTCATTCATATTCTTGTCGGCTTATAGTCCCTTTATTAACCCGTGGTCGCCACAGCGGAATGAACCGCCAACGTATCCAGCACGTTTTTACGCAGCGGATGCCCTTCCAGCCGCAACCCTGGGAAACATCCACAAACTATGGAGCGAGATACAAACACTCATTCTCACACATTCATACACTACGGACAATTTAGCTTACTCAATTCACATGTACCGCATGTGGACTGTGGGGGACACCGGAGCACACAGAGGAAACCCACGCGAACGCAGGGAGAACAAACTGCCTATGGTTTATGATGGTGTTTTTACATTTGCAAAGCGGACAACTGCACACTTATCATAACCTAACATAAATCTTTATTTTTACCTTTAAAATTATAAAAAAAAGGTATATAGTCTAGAGTTGTGTGTTATCCATGCCAAAATTTAACCAATTCTCTCGGTAATAGGTAGCTATCTTTTAAAGGTATTTTTCTGTCTACACTAATGCTTTAAAATTTAAATAATTAACACAAATAGCTACTATTTTTTAATGACATTAGATTGTAACATTTAACTTTTTCTCATTTCGATTGGTTGGGTACGGCTACGTGAACACTTTTTTCAGTGTACGTGAAGCGTGATGATTTTGCTGATTTCACTATATTTATTTATCGGTATAGAATAGTCTAACCGTGGGTTAGCTTGCAAGCATAGTTTGACGTCTTTACCTAAAACTGTACACATTTATTATTTGAAATAAAACGGAAATAAATATGGAGAATAAAATAATGTTAAGTTTCCCAGAGATGAGTTGCGGCTGGAAGTGCATCCGCTGCGTGAAAACTTGCTGGATAAGTTGGCGGTTCATTCCGCTGTGGGGACCTCGGATTAATAAAGGGACTAAGCCGACAAGAAAATCAATGAATGAAAATAATGTAAAGCCCTTGTTTGGCACTGAAAGATCTGTCGCATTTATATAAACGGTATTGTTGCACTACCTTCATCGATAAAGCCAGTAATACTGAAACTGTGCGTATTATTACTACAATATATATTATACTGCCTTAAGCTAGTAACTTGGGCAGCAATGCAAAGTAATAACAAATAAGTAAATAAATAGCCTAAATGAAAGGAACAAGAGGGTCCAAAATCAGTCATAAGGTCTGCCCTATTAAAATGCCTCTGGCAGGGCCTGTCAGGGATAGCATTGTGGAGTTTTGCTATAACGCACATCAAACGCACCCAAACAAGCTAACCAACGTATTCAAGACCACTAAAGCTGGCCGGTGCTTGATGGGCTGGAGCTAAAATCTGCATTAGCCCTCCAACTGATGTTGCCCATGCAGCCCTAATAGTATTGAGTCAGTTTGCGTTTGCAGACCTGCTGTCAATGTAACTTTATATTTTATTCATTATTTCAATTAATATTTTGCTAATTAATAACTGTAAAAATGTTATTGAATCTACTTAAAAAGATTTTCTATTTACGTTCAATATGTCTGATACAAGGTTGTTGTGCTCTGGCTCCTTTAAGGGAGGCGCACCGGAAAGCAGGAGAAAGGGAAAAAAGGAAGTGGAGGAATTCGGCAGATGCAATGCTGTTGTAATGTTGTTTGTGAATGTTATGTCGATGCTCCAGATTAAAGAAAAGAAACGAATTATCACCCTGGTAACCAGCGTTTATTTACGATGCCCACGTTGGAGGAAATGGTCTGTAAACAGCCATAAATAAGGGTTACAATAACATGCCCGCTCACTTTTGCCAAGGCACTTCCAAAAATACATTTCTGCTGATGCCATCTATCTAAAATGAACATTTACAAGCATAAAGACGTGGAATCGCTCTATGGTAAAAGGTACTTTGTTAATAAGCATTTGCTATCAGTTCAGAGTCACTTATTCCGCCACGATCAGTGGTGAACTAGTCTTGTCTGGTTGTGTTCATCCTTGATTGGGTGAGAGCAGCTCAAGCTTACTGGCTGTGGAAATCAGCGGGCGTGGCTCATTATACTTCAGGAAAGCGCCGTTTATAACGCGCGTTTCAGTGGGGTTAAAACGGCGTTTTAAACGGCGTTTTGTGGCAAGCGGATCGCGTTATAAGCCGCGCTTTTTACTAACACTAAAACGGCGTTAAAAACGGCGTTTTTTACAGGTTTACGCGCGTTATTTGCGGCGTTTGCAATCAGAACGGCGTTTTTAGCGGCGTTTGAAATGGTATTAGCGCCGTTTAATGCGGCGTTTTAATTGTAAACGCGATTGATTAATAGTGTTTTTATGAGCTCTTGGGCTTGCCATAGGATTCACACAGGAGTGCGTGAGGCGCGCGGGAATGGTTTTCCGCGCGCATGCGTCAGTTTGCTTTCACCAGCATTGAACCAGAGGGGGAGAGCTACGTCAGTAACACCAACAATAATTAAGTGACTGCATTTTATTTATCTAAATATTGGGAATTTATGAGTTCATTTAAATCAATAATGTCAACCGCAAAATTATATTGGGGTGGCCAAAGGGGTGGCCACAAGGGTGGCCAGAGTTTACCGAGGGGTGGCCGTGGCCACCCCTGGCCACCCCTTGGAGGCGCCCCTGGAACTGTATGCGCATTTATAAATGAAAGTTTTTCAACAAACCACAAAGCTTTAAAGTCTTACAGTGTTATTTCTTAAAACTAAATATGCATTAAAAAAACATCATTTATAGAAATTGGGACATTAGAAGGCATTATGACACTTAGAAGGCAACTTTAGTGCTTTATGATCAGTTCGGCTATCTGTGATAATAACAGACAAAGAAGGCTAGCACAACTATTTATTAGAGTTTGTACTTTGGCACATCATTATAAGCTGGGGTTCTCACAAGGGGTTCTCAATCTCATTTCAAGAGGTCCAATGTCCTGCAGATTTTAGCTCCATCCCCAATCAGATACACATAGGCTAGCAACTAAAGCTCTTACTTGGCTTTCTAGAAACATTCTGGCTGGTGTGTTGAGGCAAGTTGCAGCTAAAATTTGCAGGACACAGACCTCCAGGACCAAGTTTGAGAACCCCTGCAATAAACTGTAAATTTCAGGGGGAAAAAATTTGTTTGTACAAGATCACGTTTAGGACATTTTACTCAGATTATTTATATGACTTTTTATATAAAAGATCTAGTTATTATTTGTTATTCATACTCTAATTTGGACACATTGAAGCTTTTTCTGAACAAACAGAGCTACGTTATTTTTACATTACGCACTGAAACAAACAAATGGATGCATAAAAAATAAAGTTAAAACCACTGATGAGGTTTAATTCAAATAATTGACAACATTTAACACGAACCAACAACATCTACAGTACATTGATCAGAAACAGGACATGATAATAAAAGATGCAAACTCATAATCGTACGAGAAATACTACAATTCTCTATGTTAGTTTTACTTAGTAGTTACTTT